GGGTCTCGTACCCTGGTGCTGCCGCCATTCCCGCGGGCCGCGCGTTCTGGTGGCCGCCGTGTGCCCCGGGGGCCTGATACCCACCCCCCGCAGGTGGAGGAGAGCGTCCTCACCGTCGGCAAGTTCCACAACGTGGTGAAGCTGGTGGCCTTCGCCCCCTTCAAGTCGGCCCAGAGCGCCCTGGAGAACATCAATGCCGTCTCCGAGGGTGAGCGGGCCGCGGTGGGGCCGGGGGCACCGGGGTAACCCTCCCCACGGGGAATTGCGTGGTCCTGCTGATCACTCCACCCTCCCCCATCTCACAGGGATCCTCCACGAGGACTTGCGGCTCCTGCTGGAGACCTCCATGCCGGCCAAGAAGAAGAAGGCGCTGCTGGGAGTCGCCGATGCCAAGATCGGGGCCGCCATCCTGGAGGAGCTGGGCTACCAATGCCAGACCGGGGGGGTCGTGGCTGAGATCCTGCGGGGTGAGTCCAGCTGCGGAGGGGATGTGGAAGGGGACGCCCTGGCCGTGTAGAGGGGGACACCCGCCACCGTCGACAACGTGGTGACGGCTCGCTTCCCGGCCAGGGATCCGCCTGCACTTCCATGCACTGGTGAAGGGCCTCACCGCCCAGTCGGCCTCTAAGGCCCAGCTGGGCCTCGGCCACAGCTACTCCCGGGCCAAAGTGAAGTTCAACGTGAACCGCGTGGACAACATGATCATCCAGTCCATTAGTCTCCTGGACCAGCTGGACAAGGATATCAACACCTTCTCTATGCGCGTGCGGTAAGCGGGGGTCCCTGGGGCGGGAGGGCAGCACAGGCCCGTCTCCCCATGCTTACCGCAGGCAGCCGCCCTTCTGGCTGCCTGTACAGAATGGGGAGGGAGAGTAGCACCTCAAAGGCACAACCCGGCTGGGGTGACGGCGTCCTGGCCGGAGCATGCCTGGAGGGACACACGGGGCGAGGGGTCGGGCTGCGGCACTGACACTGTTGTCCCCTGTCCACCCCCAGGGAGTGGTACGGGTACCACTTTCCCGAGCTGATCAAGATCGTCTCCGAGAACTACACCTACTGCCGGCTGGCCAAGTTCATCGGGAACCGCAAGGAGTTGAGCGAGGAGAGCCTGGAGGGGCTGGAGGAGATTGTCATGGACAGTGCCAAGGCGCAGGCCATCCTGGAAGCCTCCCGCTCCTCCATGGGTGAGTGGGGACAGGCGATGGTGGTGGCTCCGCCGGAGTGCTGCGCTTCCCAGGGTGGGTGGGCTGCAGCGGGAGGGGGTCACGCCTGCCCTGGGAGGTGCCGCTCAGCCCCCGACACCCGTTTTGCCAGGGATGGATATTTCTCCCCTTGACCTCATCAACATTGAGAGCTTCTCCAGCCGCGTCATCTCACTCTCCGAGTACCGCAAGGGCCTGCAGGAGTATCTCCGCTCCAAGATGAGCCAGGTGGCTCCTAGCCTCTCAGCCCTCATTGGGGAGGTGGTGAGTGCGAGCGCGTGTGCGCCCCGGGTCACCCCAGGCTGCGGAGATGATGTCTGAGCAAATCTGTCAATCCACTGAGCTGTCCTGCTGACATCTCTTATTGCTGATCCTTGGCCTGGAGGACTGTATGCGGCCCAGAGCCGGGCTCATGGTGGTGGGGGGCAGCCTTAACCCCCATCCTCCTCCTTCCCAGGTGGGCGCCCGCCTCATCTCCCACGCCGGCAGCCTGACAAACCTGGCCAAGTACCCGGCCTCGACGGTGCAGATCCTGGGGGCCGAGAAAGCCCTCTTCAGGTACCGCTGCGGGGTGGTTGCGGTGATGGCAGGCCCCTGGGCTGCCAGCTGCGATGCGCTGGGCCCCCATGGCCTTGGCCGCATGTGATCAGCCAGCCCCAGTGTCTGAGCGACCACCGTGGCTTTGTGTCTTGCCTGGCAGGGCCGTGCCCCCGGGCACCCCTGGAGGTTAGCGGGGCCGTGGGGGAAAGCGTCTGTCCCAGTGGGTTGCGCTGGGCCACTTGCGGGCGAGAGCTGGGGCTGCTGGGGGGAGCGGGAGCCAGTGGCAGCTTCGATGTGGGGGTGCCCCCAGCCATGGGTGCTCCCGCGTCCCCTCCCTGACCGCTCCGCCGACCGGTTCCAGGGCGCTGAAGACGCGAGGGAACACTCCCAAGTACGGGCTCATCTTCCACTCCACCTTCATCGGGCGAGCAGCCGCTAAGAACAAGGGGCGCATCTCCCGCTACCTGGCCAACAAGTGCACCATCGCCTCCCGCATCGACTGCTTCTCAGGTGCCAGGGGAGGGGGGAATGGGGTCCTGGGCTGCCTCTGCGATGATGGGAATATTTTTCGTCAACAGCATCTCACTGTGTGAATGGTGACTCCTGTGGTCTGAGCAGAGCGTGGGGCAGGGCAGGGTGGGGTGGGGTTGGGCAGGGCAGGGGGTGCTGAGCCCCTCTCCCCTCCCCACAGAAGTCCCCACCAGCGTTTTTGGGGACAAGCTACGGGAGCAGGTGGAGGAGCGCTTGGCCTTCTATGAGACGGGGGAGCCGCCCCGCAAAAACCTGGAGGTGATGAAGGAGGCCGTGGTGGAGGTGAGGCTGCGTGGGGACGGGCAGGGCCCCGCTGTCGGATGTGATGTCAAACCGCTGTCCTGACCCGCCGTGGAGGCAAAAGACTGATTTAATGAGGCTGATCCGACCAGCGGTGCTGGGTGGGGGTGGGTCCTGGGCTGGGAACCTCTCCTGCGGGGCTGAGCTCCCCCTCTCCTCTGTCAGGCCAGCGAGGTGGTGGCTGAGGTCAAGAGGAAGCAGGAAAAGAAGGAGAAGAAGAAGAAGAAGAGGGAGAAGCGGCGCCTAGAGGCCCTGGCTGCGGCTGCAGAGGAGGTGGAGGTAGGGGGCTGCCAGGCAGGAGGGGGCTGGGATGGGCCCCAGCCCCACGGGGGTGAGGCAGCTGGGACATGGGGCTCCCTGGGTTGGGCACGGCTCCTGCTGACCCAGGC